GCCGAATTTTTTGCGTTCGACAAGTTTACTTTACAAAATCCTGCCAACAAACTTCTTGGTGCGTGTAAACCAACCTTTAATACCATTTATACATCACATTTGAGGTGAAACAGCACTATGAGGCACTGTTTTTATCATACAGACCTCGGACAGAATGCAGTATTTCACAATTTTGCAATACAAATTGCACTCCGCCAATGGCCGAATTTATACTAGAGACGAGTTATCCGTCTAGACGGATTATCCGTCAGACGGATAATTTGCCTAAGTATAAATCCGAAGAAGAATTTTGCTCCATAATTTGTCTAGATATTTTAAGTGGGAAAACGACGCGCAGGAAACAGTAAACATTGCCAAAATAGAGTAACCAGTCCCTCTCATGTGGCAACTTCGTCAAAAAACCGTCTACGTTCCATCTAGATATAAATTTAGAGACAGACGAATTATCGCTAACAGACGAATCAGCCTCAGACGAATTTTGCTTCATAATTCGTCTTAGCACCGAATTTAGACTAGAGACGACTTATCCGTCTGAGACGGGTAATCCGTTTAGGTGGATAATTCGTCTCTAGTATAAATTCGGCCCATATTCAAGACGATCGAAGCACGCGTGGGCTTTTAGCTAAACCGTTAAAAAAATATGTAAACAACATTTTAACACCATCCTCGGAGACCCACGGGCGGTCAGTTGGGCCGGGAAAAGGCGTGACAAAAGTTTTCAAGCACGGGCGGAAAAGCCCCTAGGTACCGACTCTCACCGGACCATTTCCAAGCGGTCAAGCGAATGCTGGCTCCTGATTGGGCACAAAAAATGCTTTGTATTATTGTGCCCAATCGGCGGACAGCATCTCCTGAGTTCTATTCGTGAGTTCGTACACGACGGCTATTGACTCGATCACTGTTTCATGCACCAAAGAAATGCATGCAGTCAGGAATCTTTCGGTTTGATATAAACGCTACATTTCAAAATAGTGGTAGTCTTTACACCAGAGCCTAAATAAGCTAAGAAATATTTCAAGACAAGTAAATTTTAAATTCTTCAAGTAAAAGAAAGCTTCACACTCAACCTACCTTTTTTCATTAGGTTTCCCCACGCAACGTAATTAACAGAATTAAGATTGATTGACCTGCTTCGCCTTTCTCAAAGCTTGGAAACCGCAAGTTCGCTAAGTCGGTTTTAATGAGATGCAAAGGAAAGTTAATTTAGATTTTGCTTAGGCCTTCACACACGCATTTTTGGTTAAGTAAAACTTAGCAGCTCTTAAGTCTTACTTAACAGCCTAGTGTAAAGACAACCACTGTCTACACGAAAACTAAAGACGCTTTTCCAAAAATACAAGCTTGAGCTTACAACAGGTATTCACGCTTGCATCGATCACGCCTTTGTAAATATTAGGGAGTCTTATATGCCACGACAGCTGACAACCACGAAAACGTCGCATGAAGAGTGAACTCACCTTTTTTCAGTCTCTATCGTGATTATTCCAACTCACTTACTTTGTCAAATGCAAGCGAACTCTTCTGGAGCTGAATTTCTATCAACCATATCCAAGTTCATAAAGAGAAAGAAAATTTTGTCATTGCTTGTTTACGTCCTTCACAAAACGTGAAATTAGGCATTTTCACGTGCTAGTCGTGCAGTGACGGCAAACAAATATACAAGAAAGCGTGATGCACTTGCAAAGTTGTTGTTTTGCCTTGCCAAGCTATTGCTTTTTTTACTTTCTCGTCGCCGGTTCATCTTAAACTTCCTATTATTTACGATACATTGTGAGCAGTCAGAAACAGAATTTTCTCAGTCAAATTAAATTGCTCCTGCTGATAGCATCCGAAACGTTTTTCGACTCATCGGTAGTTCTTTCGTTCCTGGTTAGGAAAGCTTCGTGAACGAGCCGGGCAATTGTGGCGAGATAATAGCCGTCGTGTACGAGCTCACGAAAAGAACTCAGGTGGAGATGCTGTTCGCCGATTGGGCACAATAATACAAAGCATTTTTTGTGCCCAATCAGGAACCAGCATTCTCTTGACCGTTTGGAAATGGTCCGGTGAGGGTCGGTACCCAGGGGCTCTTCCGCCCATGCTTGAATCACCAAAAGGGAAGGGCCATACCTCTTTGTGAGCTATTTAAGGGGAGGGTCACACATCTTTTCCAGAATTTTTAAATGAGGTTTTTTGTGATGTTGCTTTACATTCTTCTTACAGATTAAGTTTTTCTTTTACCTACATACACACATAAATACATACTTTATTTAAGGTATCATAAGAAATAAACGATACAAATAATACCCTAAAAAGGAAGTTTAAGAGGTTGACCCTATGTAAAAAAAACTTCCAAAAATAAAAATTAAAAATATATGCTTAAGAATAAAATCTAAGATTTAAGATGGATAAAAACCTAAGAAATACGCATGTACGATATTTAAGAGCTATTTTAAAACGTCTTAAATTTCCCATCTCAACAACATTGGCGGGCAGTTCATTCCATTCACGAATAATTTTAACAAAGAAAGAGTATTTATAACAATTGCAGTTAGCCGATTTAACTTGCAGTTTGTAGTTGTGATTGGACCTGGTACGTTTTGAAGCGAACTCAAAAAAATCGGAAAAACAACGGGCTATTCAGTCCGAATTCAAGTTTATAGCATTCAATCAAAGAAAAATATAGCCTTCTATGAGTCAACTGCGACCACCGTAACATTTCGCAGCGATCTTCGTATGACATCTCTCCCCTTCGGTAACCTAAGGCCAATCGAGCAGCTCTTCTCTGAACTTTCTCTAAGAGAACAAGATTCTTAACTAGGTAAGGGCACCATACAGGGGAAGCGTACTCGAGGATTGGTCTCACAAGAGCCTTGTACAGTGTGGAAAAGATTTCCTTGTTTACAGAACCGATTGTTCCCTTGATTAGACCAAGAACTTTATTGGCCTTATTGACAACCTCAACAACGTGTAAAGACCACGAGAGGTCATGCGAGATTGTGATGCCGAGGACCTTTACAGAACTCACTGAACTTAGACGTTCTCCACGCGGGATGAGGGAGTAATGTGGGACAGATGTATCACGATTATGTGTAACTCGCATAATTTCACATTTCTTCGCATTGAAGTTTCACTGCTAGACCTCAGACCAATTTCTAAGGTGGAATAAGTCGGACTGAAGGATGCTTGTGTCTCTAGCTATGTGGGAGATCTCTCTGTAAACCTTGGTATCATCTACATACAGTTTAACCGTTGATGAAATACCTGACGAAATGTCATTCACGTATAAAATGAATAAGACGGGTCCGAGGATTGTTCCTTGGGGAACTCCAGATAAAACTGGAGACCAGGACGAGCATGTACCACGCAGGAAGACGCGTTGCATCCGACCGGTTCTTTTCCCCTACTTTGACGACTTAATTTGGTGATTTATTATAGGTACTAGGTTACATTTCTCCATGTTTATTATGCCATGGCACATAGTTTTCTCGAAGGACTCGTGTCCTTTTCCTTCCGTATCGAGATGCACTAGACTCAAGTATCGTTTCTTCAGCTTCTTGCTCCTGTTGACTATCCGCTGCCTGGTCTCTTGAGGGGTTTAGTTCCAAAACGTTACTATTAGTAGGTCCAACAATGCACTTTACCCTGTAACTGTCAGTGGCAGACTCTGAATTTGAGTTAGAGGCAGCTGGCTGAATATTTTTCTGTCCTGCACAATAAAAGTCATAATCTTACCTCCAATATGTGCCTTCACCACTCTCACTTTCTCACATTTCTTTCTTTTAAATGCAAATATTGTGGTGATTAATGTAAAGTTCAAGTTCACCCACTCTAAGAGATGACAACTGGTTTCTGTGATAGAGATCTTCCAGTCAATGTCATTGTATTCCTGTTACTTTCTTTGCCCACGCTTCAACGATGCTTCAACAATGTGCGAGAAGTTTCCCTTTCCTACAAAAGCCTGCCTGCCTTTAACAGAATTTGAAAATGTAGGAAATATTTGTTTTTGAGAGCCAGATTTCATGCTATTAAAAAACAAACAAACCTTTTCATTAAAACAACCAAAGGCAATGCAGGCTTGTCGGAGAAAGAAGCGCGTGTATTTTCCCTTCTATATTTTATTTTCAAAACTTTTAAAATCCTCAAACTTTATTCTCCCATATTCAAACTTCAGCCATAAAACGTCAATATCCCACACTGATTGTTCGCATTAGGGAATTTAAGATCCAACGACGCGGGCGGAAGCAAGAACGTCAAAAAAAAAACAATTGGGTTAATAAGCAAAACAACAACTTTGCACGTGCATCACGCAGTTTTGTACATTTCTTTCCTGTGTTGGCACGACTACGACGTGAAACTGAATGCCTAATTTTGCGTTTTATGGAGGACGTAAACAAGCAACGACGAAATTGTATTTCTCTTTCTGAGCTTGACCATGGTCCCTTGAAATTCAGCTTCAGGAGGGTTCGCCTACATTTGACAATTCAAAGTGAGGATTAGGGTAGGAATAATCGCTATAAAGACTGAAGGAACGCAAAGTCCCTATTTTCTTGTTTCAGCGCGCACACATTCAATATCGAGATATATTCATATTCAAAGAGAGGACCGACACTTTTTTTCGAAAAAAGTACGGAAATTCCCCAGTCCTCTCCCGCCAAGAAAAAACGTACCTCCCCTTGCAGATTAAAGTTAGATGTAACTGAACATTCAAACGCTATTGTTCTTCGTTACAGTTACGTCTTATGGCCAAGGCATGTTAAAGTTTTTTTTTGTCTGAGTCTCAGCTGATGAACATTGAACATTGATTTTAATTACTGTCAGCTCTTTAAAGATTTCTATGATCTTAGACACTGTTGTAAAGAGGGGGATGTCACAGAACAGCTCACATGTTACGTGTCACGTGTACATTATGCTATCCATGTAGTTAGCCTTCACGTGGAGCGGCTGTGTTGGAGTTGTAATAAATGTGTTGAGAATGTAAAACAGTCGCCTACTTATGGGTGTCTGTGAAAGCCGCTCCATTATATGTTGATAATAGATTTAAACGCATTTCTCATGTTCTTAAAACGTACAAAGTAAATCACTAAATTCGCACAGGACGGTATAAACGACATTGTCAAACTCCATGGAAGCAGAACGGAGTGTAGCCGAGGATATCTCTTTTGAACAATCGACATGCCAAAAGCTGGTGGCAAAGAGGCGAACAGCAAGCCGCCAACAATGCACATATCAAGTGCAACTTTTTTCTCGCGCTGCAATACTATCGACATCTGGAGCGTAACTGCATCACCCAACTGAGCGTTATGACTACGAATACCGAGCAGTGCTCTAATGTAATTAACAGGCGGAACAACCAGAAACAGCACACCAAAGGTAGTCACCAACATGAAGCCTGGTACGGGAGGCAAAGCAAATAGAACGAGGATTGTTAACAGCAGCCAGATTATGTTTGTGAAGATGGCAACTTTAACTGCTCCCGCAAAACAGGATCGAATAAAATAAGGTTAGTTTAAAGGCAGCCGCATGTAGACTAATGACAATACACAATAAGTGAAATTTTACTAAAAAGGAATTTTTCTTTCACGTCCTCGATCTTACTTCGCATTAGGAAGGTTCACGTCGTAGTCGGCCAATCAATGTTCAAGAAATGTATCAGCATGCGCGTGCCGAGCCGTTCTTTTGCTCGTAAACCAACTGTTTTGTGACGATCTCGATGCCGTCCTCGCGGTGCTTACAGACCTGATATGGAAACGGTATATTAAGGACTGGGTCAATTAAGGCACGTAAACTATATGAAAAAATGAAGGGGGTGGTCTATCTCTGTAAATAAGCAACATATTGATGGGAAACTTAGGTAAGAGCTTAAGCATGTTGTAAAGGTTAAGTCTGATTGAAAGTTGTCACAATAGGTGTCACGTGACTCAAACCGAAAACATTCATCAAGGGTAGGCATACCACCATTCCAGTTAAATTTGGAAATTAATTTAGATCGGTAAAACAATACCACAAAAAATTCTCAATAATAGTATTTTTACCCTGCCTCCAGAATCCTCAAAGAAAAAATAACATAGATAATGGAATGACTGTAAACCTACCACACATTTTCTTTCAAAGATAGACTACCCCCTTACATTCCAGAGCAAAAAAGTGGCAGTCCCAGGCTTTAATATACCTGAGTAAAGGTATCCAAGGCCTTAAGGCCAAAGGTCGAACTTTTCATAAGACGAACAAAATTCGAATCTGGGTCGAACAAAACTAAGCTAAGATCGTCTATTGGACGTCGAAATTTCACACGAACGAGGCTAAATATTTATCATTCATTTGTACAAAGGTTTGATTTATTAGTTTAGTTCATCGCATTTGAAGATCCACGTTTGTCCCGGAGACGAACTTTTCGAACTTTTCCTAAACTTAAGACCGGTACTGCAAGAAGTGAGTTTAAGGCAATGAATGTCTCTTGAATCGTATATGAAACCCTTCTTCGACTTTATAACATGAAAAAAGTATCTATTGTTTTGACTTACACGGATGAGCCGAGGTAAACATATGTTTTTATGCTCGGTGCGTAGGGAATTATGCGTGCGAATGGAGGTTAGGTAATGCGTACTGCATTCTGGCGTGTTCATCACGCTTATTGTTGGGTTGTGTTTAAATAGGTTCACCACGTGTTGTGCTCTTACTTTAGGTCATTTCAGTGGGTGTAATCGACCGTCACTTGGTTTTCCTCTTTCTTCCTTTTTTCTTTACAGGTCATTCAGCGCCCAGAGACTTCCTCGGGGTTTTCATCGGCTGTCTCCTCTATCACTTCAAGAAATTTTACTAATTTTCGTCCTCAAACGTCAAAGGGCGCCTTTGTTAAAGGCCGTTATGACATCTGCTTCTTGGAGAGCAAGTTGCCCTAACTTATTCTTCACTCCCGGATCAACCTACAAACAGATCCAAAGCTTTTCAAGTAAAGACAGTGGTTCTTCTGGGCAGCAGTAGTTCCACTGCTGATAGTAAAGCAGTAAATGAAACTCTTGAAGGTATTTTTGACGAAGGTCCAGCTTTAGAGGAGTGTTTTGAATTTGAGAATTCTCCCGATAGTATTCAATCGGTTAAGGGTAGGCTTAAAGGTCATTTTAGCTTTTGGGCGGATACGTTAGGTGCAAATGATTTCATTCTCCGGGTTATTAACAAGGGGTATGCCATACCCTTTATTACATTTCCTCACAATGCGTTTTTCGACAATAACTATTCAGCACTTACTCACGCTGATTTTGTTTTGAAGGCTATTCAAGAGTTTATTTTGTCAGGTTCAGTTGTTCAAGTATCTAGTCCTCCTCATGTTGTCAATCCCTTGTCTGTTTCCATACAGAGTTGCGGCAAGAAGAGGTTGATTTTAGACCTCAGGCATGTCAATAAACATATCTGGAAATGAAAGTTTAAGTTTGAGGATATTAGAAACGCTTGTGTTTATCTTCCTTCCGATCATTTCATGTTTAAATTTGATCCCAAATCTGGCTACCACAATATTGATATTTTGCAGGATCATCAAACTTTTTTAGGGTTTTCTTGGGTTGTTAATGGCGTAAGGAAATTTTTTGTGTCACAGTACTCCCTTTTGGGCTCTCCTCAGCTCCTTATATTTTCACTAAGGTTGTTCCTGTTCTCGTCCGATATTGGAGAAGTCATGCTGTGAGAATAACAGTTTACCTTGATGACGGGCTTGGTTCCGCCCGTGATTTCGCTCGCTGCGAAGCTGCTTAATTATTTGTTAAGACTTCGCTTCAGCTTTCTGGTTTCCTGCCTAATGACAGTAAATCGATTTGGCAACCAACTTCTTGTTTAGTCTGGTTGGGTTATTGTAGTGATTTAGCCGTTCATACTATTTCCATTCCTTCGGTTAGGATTCTCAGTGTCGTACAGGTTATTGATTCAATTCGTTCTCAGTATCCTTCTAGTACTGCTAGAAAATTGGCTCAGTTTGTCGGTAAGGTTATCTCTATGGGTTTCGTCTTTGGTAACATTACTCGTATTATGACAAGGTACTCTCATTTTGATATTTTAAGAAGCCCTACATGGGACGAAAAAATTTCCCTGTCGGGTTCAACTCTGAAGGAATTATGTTTTTGGAAAGAGAACATTCCTTCCCTAAATAGTAGGCGCCTCTTGTCTACACAGTTCCATTATTCCCGTGTGTGTTATTCCGAGGCGAGTTCTACAGGCTGCGCCAGTTATATGTTAGATCTTCACAACACCATTTCTCACAAGTTGTGGAGTGTTGATGAGGCGTAGAAGAGCTCCTCTTACAGGGAACTTAAGGCCGTTTCCTTGGGTCTAGAATCTTTTTTGCCTTTACTTAAAGGGCGCACTATTAAGTGGTATACTGACAATCAGAGTGTTGCTAGCATCGTTGAAGTAGGAAGCATGAAGGAAGATTTGCAATGCTTAGCTTTGCGTATTTTTAGTATGTGCTTGCTCAGTTGCATCACATTGGAAATCGAATGGATTCCGAGATCGGCTAATGATAGAGCTGATTTTTTGAGCAGAATTGTGGATTATGATGATTGGCGGGTCAACAGGGACTATTTCCTTTTGGCCGAAGAGAAATGGGGTCCTCATTCTGTGGACCGGTTTGCGAATCATGAGAATACTCAGTTGCCCCGTTTTAATAGCAGGTTTTGGTGCCCTGGTACAGAGGCGGTTGATGCCTTTTCTGTTTCTTGGGCCGGCGAGAATAATTGGCTCGTTCCACCTATTTTTCTCATCCCCAAGGTCCTTAATCACATGGTTGCCCTTGGCGGTCGCGCTACACTTGTTATTCCTGCTTGGCCTTCCGCCCCATTTTGGCCTTTAATTTTTACTGACGAGGGTTGTCTCCCATATTCTCTGATATTTTTGAGATCCCCTTAGGTACTGATGTTTTCGTTTTGGGTAACTATAAAAATTCCCTTTCTGGACCACCTAATTTTCGTTCAGGGGTTTTGTTCTTGCGGTTTTCCTAGAGAGGCCGTAGTTAACCCCCCCCTTTTTTCAGTCTTGTAGGGGGTTTTTTCTCTGCAGTTTATAGAGTTCTTACGCTCATACCACATGGTATCCGAGTGTTTTGGGATGCACTTGGATCCTTGCTTTGTGGACCACTTGGTCTTTTTTATTACGCAAGGGCCACTTTGGCCCTTAGTGGTAATATTTTTCTGTGTTTTTCTTGGGACCACTTGGACCCAACCTTGCCTTGTTTCACTACGTGTTGTATTTTTCTGACATATTTTTTCTTTGGTCATTTTTGTCATTTTATTTTCTCTATTTTTTGCTTCAGATGTTAAAGCAGCTGCCAGTCGGACGTTTGGCGTTTTACTTTGTGAGAAGTTTTGGCTCTCTGCCTTTAATTCTCGAGCTGATAACACAGTTATTAATTATTGTAAATCATTTTGTAAGTTTAAAGCGTGGTGCTTACAGAGCACTGGGGAGGTTTCTTTTCTCCCAGCTACTTCCTTCACAGTTTCCTTGTATTTGCATCATTTATTAGAAAATTCGTTAGGTAGTTCCACCATTTACGGCGTTTTTTACGCTATTAACTGGGTACATAAGTTATCAGGTTTTGAGAATCCCAATCCGTATGACAACTTTCTCGTCAGGTCTATTGTTGAGGCTTCCAGTCGTGCTCCTCGTATACCTGTCAAGAAGGCGGAGCCCATTACCCCAGAGATCCTTGGCTTAATTTTGCAGCATTATGGGGAAAGTATAGTAGTAACTTACTTGATATCCGGTTTGTCTGTATGTGTTTACTCGTATATGCTGGCTTTTTCCGCATTTCCGAGCTTTTAAGCATTAGGAGATCTAATATTGTAACTGAAGATCTCTATTATAAGATTTTCATAGAAGTTAGCAAGACTGATAGGTACAGAGAGGGTTCCTGAGTTTATATTGCCAAGACAGGCAATTTTACTTGCCCTTATACATACCTTATTAAGTACTTAGAAGCTGCCAGGATTTTTTCTTTTTCTCAGAATTTTATTTTCAGATCCTTACGGTACGACAAGGATTTCAAGGGCAATGTCTTGTCTTCAAAGCCCCTCACTGCTAGCAGGGCGGGAGAAATTCTTAAGGGGAAGCTGAAAGCTATTGGGTTAGACCCTTCTAAGTTTAGTAGTCACAGCTTTAGGTCCGGAGGAGCTACTTCCGCTGCCAATCTGAATGTTCCAGATCGGCTTTTCAAAGTTCACGGAAGGTGGAAGTCAGATTCAGCTAAAGACGGCTACGTCCACGATAAAGTCGACTCGCGTCTTTATGTTCCTTTGCACATTGGAATTTAATTTATTCACTTTTGGCAGAGTGGGTTTAGATTCAGTTTGTATTTTTCCTATCATTTATACTTCTGTATCATGTAAGTTGTGTTTGTTAGGAGGTCGTATTATACCACTGCCGACCTATTCCTCCTATACAATAAATTCATTGTTGTGTATTTGCTTGTGTGTGTTTCATTATTACAGAGTTTAGAGCATAAATAAGTTATTTTCGGTACGCAGTTTAGAAAATAATGAGATTTAAGAGAAACATAATTAACTTGTTTCCCTGGGTGAAATATAGCACACAAAGAAAAACCTATGTGAACAAATTTTTGAAAGTAAACATCAGCAAGCCGTCACTAATTCCATACATTTTGCAATGGAACCTACTTAGACACTTTTGGCGGGAAACAGTCTATTTCTAGGCCTAGGTGTCACGTGACTTCCACGTAACCAATGAGAGCGCGCGATCTTGGGCAAAATATTCCAGCTCTTTGATTAAATGCCTTAATCCTGGACCAGTTAGAACTCTATTATACCCTTAGTAACTATAGTTACTTACAGTGAAATTGTCCATATATCTATTCTTCTGAGAGGCTTTATTTATCAAATGCTCAAGTAAAAGACCCACCTGTTTTAGTGGCGCGAGTTATATACACCAGAGGTCTGTCCAAGGCATAGTGGCGATCAAAACTGATAATTATAACGTTGACAAATGATAAACCAACTGTCAGCACTTGTAAAGTGTAATACACATCAAACACCAGAAATTGATGTAGACATGACTGTCGGGCTCTTTGAAAAAATAGTCGCCACACAATAAACATGGGCTGGACGATAACTCCCGTGAGGAAATCTGCAAAGGCCAGGTTACTCAGTAGAATGTTGCACGGCTTCTGTAAGGAAGGGGTCTTGATTACTGTGACAATGATGACCACTGGTTGCTAAGAAATGCAAATATGGCAAGAGATCCGTTGACAGTTACGAGTATCATATCATTTAGGTAGGCGGCTGTGTCGTTCCTGTGTATTCCAATCCAGGGTTTTATTCCGCAAATGGCAGCCATTTGTCTTCTGTGGATTAGACGGCCCGCTTTTTTAAAAAGTCGATAAAAAGAAATTAATGCAAAAAATTAATTTTCAAAATGTATCTGTGATGTGTTTATCTAAGAAATAGGACCTCTCTTTATAACCCGATAAAAGAAAAAAAGCAGGCTTATTTCTTTCTTAGATTTCTCCTTTTCGTTCTTTAGAGCTGTGTGTGAAGCGAAAAAGAGCTTGATGACTGTTGACAATATTGGATCGCTCATTATTTTAACCGTGTCATGTTTTGAATTAATTGTTGAGTTGAGTGTCTCTTTTCTCAAAAGTGTCAAATGACAGTTGGCCTAGGACTTAGCTGCTAGCTGCTAAACTAAACTTAGCTGCTAGCTGCACGCCTAAAGTGTATGCAGACCTATGCAAATGTTCACACAGCACTCAATGGGCGAAATGTCGACCAAATAGTTATTCCGTTCACACGGAACGACCTTAACAGACGCCCAGCTGTTCAGAATTTGAACGCGGGAACCGAGGCTAATTTCGGAATAAAAAATTGGTAGCCGCTACTTAGGTAATGATTTTGTAAAATTGTTCAGCGTTTTATTAATGGAGTTTCGTTTTCAAAAGTTTTCAGGTTCTGTAAATAGTAAAAAGGTCGATACTTTTGCCATCCTATGAAAAGCATGAATGCTACTTGTTGTTAAAAATTGATCTCGATCGGCTCCTTAAGGTCCACCGAAAATGTGTGTGTTTTTTAATGAAACATATATACCTGTTTACCGCAAAATGGTAAGCTCAGAAATTATATTTTCTTTGAAGGGCCTTTTTTATGTGTCACAGCCCATCGGGAAACTAAACTTTAAACTTTCAATTCCGGTTAGAAAACAGAAAAATAAAAACACAGGGAAGTATCGTGCAACTACTGGAACGGCCGCAAGCTAAATGTTGTAAGCGTAATATTACTGGATAGCTCAAGACATAACATTTCCCATCGCTTTGTTTGAAAAAGAAACTCAAAAGAAAGGTCTTTTCAATTCGATGACATATAGATAAGCGAGCTTAGCTAACATTCACTGGCTTTTTAAATTTCTTTTCGCAAATTTGATTTTCTTCGATAATCATGATATCCACCTACACTGTTATCTAGCAGTTTAAAAATATTATTAAATTAAATCTAACGTTCACTGCCAAAAGGCTTTGACCTCTACCTTCCACACTGCTCCTAACAACTGTATTTCTTTAGCACCTAGTAAAGCGAGAAAAGTAAAAAATTATCACTCACCACTGAGTATATAAATCAAATTTGAAGCCTTGAAACGATCGATTTTGAATCAAAGTATATTGCTTAGTATGATCACCTGAAACACTGTATCATTAGATGAAACACTGTCTGTTTTCCGACACCTTTGATTAAGTACAAACCTCTTGAAAGTGCATTAGGGCCGCTTTATTTCTAGTGCTTTATTGGTGGTTGATCGACTGGAATTCATCTAGTGGATAATGGCTGCTACGCTTTATTGTACAGTCAGTTATTTTTTTGAATTGCTGGAAGGCATATTCTTGCCCTCCAACATGGCGGCCAAAACTGTTTTTTGTTTATATCTTGTTAAACGTTTGTTAGTTACGCTAAGATCTGCAGTAAACGTTGCCACATCATTTTTTCAACATTTTCCTTGAAGTTTAAGAAAGTTCAGAAAGAGGTAATTCATAATTTTAAAAATCACATTTTGGTCACGTCACCAGCTACGAACTTACTCATTTTAAGAAAATGGTGCGGGTTTGAAAAACCAAATCACTATTACTATGTTTAAGATATGACCCACTATTATCGTTTTTCGAAGGCAAAATCATATAATTTTCATTTTCATGAAAACGATGTCACATGACCTCTTAGCGCAAATGGTCTATTTTTAATCATACGGCCACGCTTGTAAATAGCCAACTGGTTGCCTCCGGCCAAATATTAGTTTCAGAATTGTTTGAGTGGAGTGCCCGTAAACTAGCTGGATAAACTAAGAGCACCTTCCTCTACAAACCTTAACTTAAATTTGATTTTTGATTTTAATAATTTAATTTCTACATCACTGAACCTCACCTCTTCCCACCCTACCCCTATAAGAGATCTTAACAAGCTAATTGCCAACGAAATATTTAGCCTTTTTAAAACATTAAATTGTTTTATAAAGGTTGGTTGCCATTCACGAAACTCTTTGTCTGCTTCCATTTCACAGTTTATTTCTTAATATAAGTTAATCTTTCCGTCTAAAAGGGATTCTACCCGAATGGTAAATTAGATGGAGGACGACTAAAAATTTCTAGATGACCGTTTCATGCATGAACAATTTTCGAAGCTTATCTGATAAATTCCCGACGATTTTCTTAAGTTTAATTTTTCACATTTAACTCCTCAGGTTAGCCTATATTTTTCGAAGAGAAAAGGAAGCTTAAAATGTTCGGATTCAAAAATGTGATGTCGAGAGGAATCAGTAAAATTTTCACTTTCGTAATACGTTTCACTGCATCTAAACTTTTCGGGAAAACTAATACTGAAGCCCTCGTCGAAAAGACGCAAGTTATGACCAAACAGATACAAATTTTATAGCGCCGCTTAGAATGCATTTCTGCAGATCTAAAATGACTCTGGAAATTCAATGTATTTAGGAGGAAACCGTCGTTGGGTGTCCCTGCATCATGGCGTCGAGTACAAAGAACCACAGGTAGCCGCTGTCACCTTAAAGCCCTTGCTCACCATAGAGTCTCCAGTAGCTCAAGTGGTTAGAGCATCCGACTAGATCACGGAGGGTCGTGGGTTCAAATCCCACCTGGGACTCGGATTTTTTTTTTCCGAGTCCTCCTCAAATTAATATCGTGTTGTTGTTGTTTCATCTTTAATATACTCACTTTGGAGGTTGGTTGGCCGCATCTTGGATATGCTTTAAGGTGACAGCGCGATGCTGTTAGTGAGTTCTTCACTTCTTGTGTGCCAGTCATTGCTTGGCTGTGTAGCCGCGTGATGCGGTTCCAGTCGAGACCCACAAATTGACCCTTGCTCACCATAGAGTCTCCAGTAGCTCAAGTGGTTAGAGCATCCGTTGTTGTTTCATCTTTAATATACTCCCTTTTAAGAAAACAGGAAAATTTATTTTGCCAAAGCTAGTGGCTATCAACAGTCAGTAAAAGTGAGTAAAATTTCATAAACCAAAAATTGATTTACAGATTAAAGCTTTATTTAATTTTGAACTGATTAGATCTGTGAAGATGATAGTGCATGCCCCACATTAAGTAAAACAGTTTGGCCTTCCTGATGCAACAGAGCAGCTTAGCCTTTTTAGGCTGTGGCTCTGTGAGAATTTTATTCTCCGGGTGTCGTAGAGGGGACTAAAAACTCGCTTTTAGATATTGTTTGAATCTCTGTCCAGTATTAAGAAAAAAGTTTGGCCTTCCTGATGCAACAGAGCAGCTTAGCCTTTTTAGGCTGTGGCTCTGTGAGAATTTTATTCTCCGGGTGTCGCAGAGGGGACTAAAAACTCGCTTTTAGATATTGTTTGAATCTCTGTCCAGTATTAAGAAAAAAGTTTGGCCTTCCTGATGCAACAGAGCAGCTTAGCCTTTTTAGGCTGTGGCTCTGTGAGAATTTTATTCGCCAGGTATCTCAGAGGGAAGCTTTATTTTTTAAACATTATTTAAATATTGCAAAATTAGTGTTTCGCTTACGTTTGTATTTAACCCCATCCAGATCCAGTGAGGTCTTTAAAACAGCGCGTCAACTTTAAAAGTTTTTTCATAAGGCAGTTTCCGCTTAGCGCTTAGTGTTAGTTCTGCCATTGAATGAAGTTTCCATTAAAAAAGCCTTGCGTTCAGACATAAAATCAGGGAGATCTTGTAAGCATGAATTGAAATATATGAAATGCGGATGAAGGTATGAAAGTGAACATGATCTTCGCATTAAATTCGCAGCCTATTCAGTTGAAAAAAATCTGAAATATTTTGCAGTGTTATCGCAGAAAGTTAGAGGTAATATTATTCATTGTTGGGGAAAATACTCCGCGGCTTTAAATTAATAATTTCCTCGATGTTTTAATTCCGGTAGTGTAGTAAACTTTCCGTTAAGGCAACTTCTAAAACGCACTCGAGAAAACCGCACAGTCTCTGTGAACTCTCACTTTCACTTGCGAGAGAGGCAAAAAGAAAATAGACTGACATTACTTTCAAACAATTGCGGGTTACCTTAGGCCGCGGTTTCAGAAATCATTGGACCTCCAGGCCTCTTTCTTGGTGGGTTAGTTTAAGAAAATAAGTGCTTTAGTTTTCCAGTCTGCCTTATATGCTATATTGAAATTATTCACGATAAATGGGGTTTGATAAAAGCGTTGGTTAAACAGAAAAGGGCTTAATTATGACCCGATTTTGTAATATACCAGTTAAATAACTGGCGCTTAGTGTTTAATAAATACAAGTAAACAAAATATGCAATGGAAAATTCCCCAGTAAGAAGTGCGTAAAATCACTCTTCTCGAAGTGCAATAAATTTTAAGAGAAGCAACTACAGAGGCAAATGCATTCCGGTTCGGCAGAAAGACTTCCAATGCGGCTAATTTGTAGTTGAGTTTTTTTGTTGAACCGAAATCTTGTTGACGTACAGGAATTCTGTTGATATGAGAATTTGTCACCTCCAAGTAAAGGAGCCGTAAAAAGTTGATTACTTCTACAGAGCTCCCCTGCTGATGTTCGCCTATTGAATGTGCGATTATCGGAGGCGAAACGAAGAGTGGAGGCCAAGTGTATAT